ATAAAAAAATGCATCATAAAAGTCCTAGGCAAATAAGTGAAAAGGTGGCTTTTTCTTTACTGTAAACAGTTCCTCAACAGAAAAAAAAAAAAGAAATATTAGCAGAACGTGCGTGGAAACAAGAGGAAGAGTACATAAGAAAAAGAAACTATAGCTCCAGAAGTTTTAAAACTGGAAACACCACTGGGCAGCCAGAAAGATATCAAAAAAACTCTGAATTTCTGCTGCTCTCCAGACAAAACATAACATTTTTAGAATACTTACATAGACTGGATTTTCTATCATAGAGCAGGAGTCCCTGCCTTTATAGCTCATACAAAAAGGCATGTAATAAAATGAGCAGGATCCRTTATCCTTGTGCAGGGGCAGCTTGGTTGACAGAAACCCAAAATCTTGGCATATTTGACGTTTTGTCGTTATTTTCTGTYCTGAGACACAAAATGAGGCAGCAGTAGTTCCTCCTGCAGGGGGTACTGGAGACATGAGTGGGCTTCCCAGGTGCTGTCACGTTTAGGATGCACCTGAAATTTTGTTTGCTATTTAAATGTCACCAAGACAGCAAGGGCAGTAACAGACACCTTGACGGCACACACGCAGAACTACAAACTGCAGCCTACCTGCGTGAAGCCCAGCTCTGGCCAAAGCTCCACAATTTCAGCTATTGCCCACAGAAAAGCCAGATTTTTACCCTTGATTTCGACACKTGCAAGCAACAGTCAAAGCAGGTTTTATCTTTTTTTGTATCGATTGAGGTATTTTATATAATGGACACCTCAGTAAAAGGCATTGCCCTTACAAAGTAATTGAAGGAGGGTCCTGGAGGGTCTTAACTTTCATTGTTTTGATTCCGGCTTCTGAAGAAAGGGAGATTCATGCACTGAACCCATCTGTGCCTGTCGGCCTGTCCCCTTCTCTCATCCCCTAACACCTTTGGAGCTGAATGACCGATTACAACCTGGTTTGATGGAGGTAGGAAKTCTCCGAGATGCCCAATTCCTGTGCCTGTCACAAAGCAGGCAGCAGAGGAGAGGAGCTTTAATCATGTTCCCAGTAAGGAAGGGCTGGGAAATCTACCCAGGAAGAGCTTCCTCCAGACTGTGCAACAGCTTGGATCTAAACTCGGTTGCTCAGATGTTGAAGGAGGAATAACCACAAAACCCAGCTATGTAGGAAATTGGGCTTCTTTCCTTCTGGTCCCCCATGGCTTATCTGTTCACTATTTAGACAAATACGKTTTTTGCACAGAAAATCTTGAGATCAATATAAGGAAGACAGGAAGAAGAGAAACTAGTGAAGAACAATAAAAAAATAAGACTTTGAATTACATTTGCAGTCTCCATATTGATCTCCACCTCCAAAAAAAAAAAATCTTTCCCATCCAAACCTCAAAATTTTCACTTCTAATCCCATTATCTGTCTAATTAAATTCTGGATGTATCAAACTGTTAGGCCCATCTTTTCGGAGACTGTAAGCTTTAATCACGATTACATGCTGCATATTTCATGATATATATCTTTTGCGTATAATTAGGAATAAAAAATGTAATCCCCAAAAGATGTTCAATAATTTAGATACCAAGGATTTGATTAAAAGCATTTGAGGATTGTAGACGACAGAGAAAGAATAGCGACTCCATTATAACCAAGGGGAAAATTCAAGAACTATAAGCCCTGCTTTTGTTTTTCAAACAAAGCACTATGATCTTAAAAACCAAGATTTCAGAACAGGAATGGATAGATACATTTCCCCCAGGTAAATTCCTACCCTTCCCCCCCGCCCTTCATAACAGGCCAGATGTTTCATTTGAAAAGTTTACCTACAAATATTCAACTCTTTTACACAATGTTTCCYCCCTCCAAGCCCTCATTAGCAGAAATTAACGTGCTTTGACGAAGAGAGGGCACATTTCTCCACTTAGCAAGCAGCATTCACCTACTTACTGTATGCACACCACTGCATAAAGCCTTCACACGAAGAAGGAAAAAAACCTCAACAAGAAGCATATAGAGTTAAGAAAAAGAATTAAGGGATTATTGGTCATGATCAAGATGTGCAACTTACATATAAAATATGTTTATACTATCTTATTATAACTAGTCTCATCAGSTAGGTGTTAAATAATTTCAAAGTTAAAAAAAATAGAACAGGAATCCCCTTGTTTGTGTTGCATCAAATGAGTATGCCTTGCAGTGTGATTTTTTTTAAAATGCATATACTTCCCAATCCACTTGCAAGATCTTTGGATATAGGATCATAAAAAGAAAGAAATAACCTAACAAGGACCTAAGAAATACACTGAAAAAGAGAAGTCTGCCCCTATGCAGATATTTTAGCTCTAGAGAAAGTTATCATACATCACATGTAAAAGCACAGAAAATAAGGGCAAAAAGGACTTCCTAAAGTCATCCAGTTTCTCTCTTGCCTTAAGATGGGATTGGTTATAACCACACCATTCCCAGCAGCTGTTTGTGCTGGAAAAATTCCAAATGGAGATTCTGCAGCTTCTCCGGGCAATCTCGCCCAGTGCTTAACCATCCTTACACTTTGAAAGTTTCTCCTAATGCATAGACTAATCTCTGCTGCAATTTAAGCTTATTATGTCTCGTCCCAGCCTCAGTGGACATGGAGAACAGTTTATTCCCTTCCACTTCGCAGGTAATCACAGGAGACTCTGTGGACCTATTACATTCCTTATGTTACATTCATGTGCTACCTTTTCCYATAGAATGAAAAGATACAAAGGCAAAAGATACAAAATCTATAGTCAAGTGCAGCATGCACTCATGAAATAAGACTTATTTCATAGTAACTGTCTTTAGCATATTAGTTGTAAGAATAACTGGCTAAGCCTTGCAGTATTTGACTTTTCAGTTCTAAATTCTAAATATTAGAAAGTATCACTTAAATACTAAACAAAAAAGCCAGTCATGTTTCAGAGYAAATGCCACACTGCTAAAAGACTAAAAGTTTTATCAGATGCAGATTGACTAAAAAATTACTAGCGCTGTGGTTATGATTATACTAAACAACATAAAAGCAGCTAATGGTGTAATCACCAGAACAGATGCCTGCTGGTCAGGAGAAACAGGTTCTGCTCCAGATCACTATTACTGGATGGCGGGCATGTCATCTAGGACAACATTTTCAAAAGTGCCCAATAGTGGAAACAGCTAATTTGGGGGCATCTATCTTAATCAGTAACTCAATTGTTGCACCTGTTAACGAAGTGACTTCACAATTCCTCCCCCAAATCCTTCATTTTCAAGGCAGTGAAGTCTCGTAGACACTTACAGAAGTGTGACAGTTCAGCAAGACAGAGGCAGCAGTCACTACACAACTTCATAAGGGTCGCTCAGTGGCATCACTTGGGGCTGTGCTCACATATTTGAGCTTACGACAGGGGCTGGTTTCGTCTAGGAAAACATGCCTSCACCACCAAGTTTTTCTGTGTATTTATTGTAATTGCAGTAGCAGCGGGACAAAAAAGCATGTCTGAAACGTGGCAGAGCTAGAGCCCTGCACGTAGCTACTGTACACCCATTACCTTGAGGTACTCACCAACAGAAAAGTCCACTTACCAGCACGTGCTTGCAGCATTCAGGGCACAGATGCCACTYGGCTTCTAATACCACAGCATTACAGGGCTCCCGAGAGGGACAGCCTGGGATATTTTTGCCTGCAAACAGTCACTAGTGATGGATGATTCTACCAGAATGACGTCTGTGACTCCCTGTTCTCTACAAAGCCCTCAATATTCTGCAGAAAGCAGTGACTTAAGGAGCTTTTTTAGATCTCAATTCCTCTGACTAAGAGTCAGTATATGCTGCACAACTGCTTGTCATACCTGTCAGAAAAGGCTCGTTTCCTGACCGGCTTCCAAATCTTCGCCTTGACCTGTATTTTGGGGAGAAAGCTAACGAAAGGAATATTAATCCCATAAAAGAACTGCCTGCATTCCAACTGSATATAGGCCTACCTAAAACATGAACGCTCTTGCCCTGACCAGCTAATATTTCAGTTATGCCAGCTTTTACTCACTATATTTCCTACGCATGTTAGTTTGTTTCGAGAACCTACATAATGCATCCCAACACCTCAAAGACCAGCTATACCACCCAACCAGTTTCATCCTACTTCTGTGATCACCTGTGCCCACTGCAGCTCCAGTCCTCAGTGCATTAACTATCACTGGAACAGGCTCCTTCTCCCAGTGCTTACCCAGCAAGCAAACAATTACACAGGTGGGATCATTTGCTGTGTGTGGACACTGAGGGTCTACTTTGTTACCCAAATTGCTCAGAATTTCCCTCATACTTCTGATCTGCCTTGTCTAGTTCTTATCCCATATTGCTTATCATAATTAAGTCATCTATCATAAGCAAAGCCGTCTGGTTCCCAAGTTTGCCTCAACACATATATACTCATTCTATGGAATTATGGAGTATAATCTCATTCCATAGAATAAGTATTGTAAGTCCTAAGTGAACATTGGAAATACAATCTTTGTCCAGCATCTTCAGCAATCGARTCATCTATCCAAAGTGCAAAGAGCTTTTTTTCATGTATTAAAAAGCAGGGATAGTGCATGTCTGTAAAAATAGAGATTAAGTGCAATGCTGACTGTTGTATTCATTTTAATATTCTGTAAGCTATTTAAAAACTGTTTTCAATAGGCTTGAAAGAATTAAGATTGTCCCTCCTCAGTGGTCACTACAAAGTCCCTGAAGCACTTCTCRGGAACACTCAATACAAACCACTTAAAGAAGAGAACTCCTTGAAAAGAATGATCTAAAAGTCCATCCTGAAAAGTTGGATGAAAGAGCTTTTACTGGTGTTACTCATCAGATCGCATTTACTTTGATCTCCACACMCCAGACTGAAATATTCAAAGAAAATATTCTTTTTACCTGGAGAGAGATTTACCAATATACACTCCTGATCAGATCTGATTACAGATTACACTTCTGACCAAACGGTTGGAAGGCCAGAGAAATACATGGAGAAAGTGCACAGTGCACTGCTGTTGTGACAATGCAGAAGAGCATTTGCACTCTTCCTATCACAAATAAAGGCAGAAAAGGACAAGGTCATCCAAACTTCTTGGGCTGAACTTGCAGACCTGAGGAAACCAACCTACTACAGCCTAAAGTCTCCACTTGCTTCCCYCTACCCTCAGTTCTTCACATGCATGATTAACGTTGGACTTCTCTACAAATGCAGTTGTAGATGACAAACAAGAGAGCACTATATGCTACAGAGCCCTCGCTTTTCTCCAGCAAGGATCCATCAGTAATATCAGGTCATCAAGATAAACCAGCATTCCTAACACAACATCAGGCTCTCACACCACTGAAAACATTACCTGAGTAGTCAGACATCCTCAGGTAGGGAAAGAATTATCATTTTACCTTACCCAGAAGGTTAAGAAGTTTYTCATAAATAAGTACCTAGAACTCAAGAATTCTTGCAAATTAAAGTTCAATATTTGTTCTCAAAGAGTAAAGGTTACTACACAAAATTTGTTTTCAAAAGCCTAGAATATAAATTTATTGAACAATTCTGAGAACATTGGAAATTTTCATAATTAGGATAGGATAAAAAGCCATAAGTTGTCATGGAGTTGTATAAGCAAAGTTGTCTACAGGAAAGAACTATTTACCTACAGCTAACAGTTAAAGTAAACAYTGATTCACTACTGTTCTAAGCAGAAAAGTAATGACAGATTATGACATACTGCAACATACAAATATTTCTTAGTTGAAAATAACATCAACACAAAGATTGTTCTTGCCACTTCTACTGTTTTAGTTTGGTCTTGTTAGGAGGACGTGGGCAACTTTTGTAGAGAAGAGATCAGCAGAAGTCTAAGTAGACCTGAAATAAATAAAATGCGTTTCAGCAAGCAATCTGTAGAATATTCCTATGCAGGTAAAGTATTTGACATTCCATAAGTGCAAGACATGAAATGARAGACAGTGTCTGTTTGTACCAAAATACGACATAAAACTCAGCAACTAAAACCCCAACCTTACCAATTATTCTCTACATAATGTGGCACCATCTCTATGCATTTAAGAATGCATCGTGCAGGAACACAAGGTAATTCAAATTAGTATGCAAAGATATCGCTATGAAGCAACTAGAACTATTAGTCTTGTCTCAGCTAATCTATTTTCAGGACACAGAGATGACTCAAAGTACTGTAACTTACAAATATATGTAAAATCTTTAGTCATCAGAGACTACTGCCCTGAGGTTGGCACAAGCAACTTATAAATGTCAGAAATGCATGTAAACCTTGTTAATGTTTTCAGAAATTCATTTAAAGATAGAAACAGGTCCAAAAAGATGCCTGTCTAAATGCATTGCAATTACGTTACAATTATTTTCCAAATACACAGATATGCTCTGTCTTTTCTCAGCTCATTACTGACTCAAACAATTTGCCCTTCTGGGATCAATTGTTTGCTAATAAATAATTGTTTACAGTCACAAAATTATATTAAGCAGTATTCTTATTAGTTTTCCTTCTACAGTCTAATAAGATTCAAAACTAGCTGATTCCCAAGAGTCTAACCTTAACCTTGCTGTGTTTAACAGCCCAGGAAATGATGAACCATCTGTTTCAGAAAATAATGGAGGGCCGAGAGGAAATATTGTTTAATTGTAGATTAACCTCCTCATACGGCAGAATGAAGCATCTACAGAATTAGCAACTATAACTAGCAAAGAACAAAAATAACTGAAAGCAGCTCTTAATATTACAAGACCAATAACAACAAGCATTTTTCTATCACTTTTTTCAATACTTCCCAAGCGTGTATAAGAAGCAGAACCTGATAAACAACTGTGACAAATTATCTCTGCATCTTTCTTTAACGAGCAAGGCCACAGGATTAAAAATTTAAAGTCACTTTTTTATTTTTGCCCATCAGTAGCAAAACTATTTTAAAACRAACCTCTTCAGGTGAGAGACTGTTGGCTTTTTTTTTTTTTTTGGTTAAAAAATTCTTCCCTCACCTGCACAGTGGGGTAGTAGCTGCTCTGAAGCAGTACCTAGATCACTTCACTTCAGAGGAGAAAAGGCCTTGAGGTTTTAACCACCTAGCAGAGCTCTTGAGTCTACTTATATATCCAGGGAATTACTGAACAGTGGAGGTGATGGGAAAATACAAGACATGAGTACTAAAAAAGGGAATCAGCACTGACAATTCACAAGAACCTAAAACTGTAATCTCACACTAGTAAAATGAAGAGCGCAATTCTGCAATGCCTTTTTTTTCCTCCTCCCTTCTCTAAACATTCATGTCAGAGCTTAACAGAAATCTTTTCCCTCCAATAATCAGTTAGCTCCGTTTGATAGCAGTAACGGAACAACCTATTAAGGGCTGTAGTAAACTCCAAAACACAAGGACTGAGAAAGCCCTTTACTTGGTTTTAAAAATATCTTCCTGGATCAGTACCCCAATTCATGGGCATATAAGACACTGGACTCTTTAATTTCATTAATCCTAAATTTTAGATAGATACTGGGATCTTTAATTCATTAGTCCTAAATTTTAGATATCCACATACAATAACTAAAAATTATTTTTCAAAATCTTCACTTAATTTTTGAAGCAATGATCTAGCAATAACTCCACAGCTTCATATAACAGCATGTATTCAGAAAGGATAAGAGTTTGACATTCTTCTTCCACTAAACAACTAGGCACAATTTTATCCACAGACGTCTATCAACCTACGGATATTGAAAGCTTGGGCGAACAAGATAAAATCAAATCCAACCCTACTGTCAAGCTGCACTATCTCCTGGCATCCATAACGCTATTCATGAATTTAAGAAAATTAATAAATCCTGGCCTGYGTGCTCAGAAAGGCTCCAGCACAGGTGGATCACACTCACTTGGGTTTTGTTTCTGCATCTGTCACTTGGCGAATATAGATACCGTCTTCGGGATGCTCCACGTCATCCATCTCATACATGTAGGAGGAGGCGATGGCGAGGGTGGTGCCGTCGTTGCTGAAGGCGAGCGACGCTATGCTCGTGGGGTACCGGTGGAACTGGCACAGCCGCTTCTTATTAAAGGGATCCCAAATATTTACAAATCCGTCAGAACCTCCTGCAAAAAGTAATCGGCCARCCTGTTAACAAGTTATAACTGGTAGAACTTCAAGAGTGAACACAGTAAATCAAGAAATATAGAGCCACCTGGAATACACTGCCAGTCAAAGCACAGTTATACAGAGTTGAATAACGCAGCTGAGAGCACTATGAGTATTTCCTAAAATCTGTTAAAATAATTAATTCTCAGTACATGAAATTACTTCAAAACCCTGCTCAAAGCAAGGAGTATGATTTAAAGGCCTATAAAGGCACATCCAGTAAAGGTGACCTGTTTAAATGAAAACTTAAGGGAGCTGATGTACTGAGAACATTTTTTGACACCAATAAGTAATAACAACTGAGCATCCACTCTACCTGTAGCAAATGTGTTGTGGACATTGTGGAAAGAAATGGCATTAACTGGGTAAATATGTTCAATGTTATTCTCCTTCAAACGGTGACATTTGAATGCATATTTCTTCTTCTGTATTTCAGGACTTGGATCCAAATATTCCACTGCAACACGACCTTCAATAGAACTTAAAACATAACCCTACCAAAGAAAATTGAAGATACGCATTTTAGAAGTTTACAATAGGAGAAAATGGCAACTTTTAAACACACAATTTCTTATTGATCTAAATTCAAATAAATAAAATATAAACAACTTTGGTATGTACAACTGGAAATTATTTGTTACCACAGAGCCATGCCATCATCAATAAAAACTGTTTCTAATACAAAACTAACGTAGCAAAAGCTTTCTGGAAAATCCTCACTGCACGAGTTAAAGCTTACAGTGAGGCTTTCTGTTTACCACTGCAGGTCCAAACACAGGTTGATTTAGGAGGGGGAAAAAAGTTAATACTCCTCTGTATTTGCCCATCTATCCCATAGGGCCTCAAGTATCTCAAGTATTAGGGATACTCATCARACTTTAGTTTCAGAATTGCATTACAATTAGTTCAGAGCATTCTGTTTTCACCTAAATGCTCAAGCCTAGAACAGTACTTTCAGCAAAACKTGATTATAAAGGGGTGCCTACTTATCTAGTTAGGTATCGCCCTGACTTACTGCGACCAAAGATCCTTGTGTTAGAATTTCTGAATTCAACCTCTAACAGATCTGCTCAGGAAGAGGAATAAATATCTACCTCTATCGAGGTTCTTAAGAATCCACACTAAACTACAATCTGGAASATCAGTTTGCAATACTACATCTCAAAAAAAGCCACAATCATGCCAGCTCCAGAACAAATAACCAGGTCTCCCAATGCCTGTAATTTCAGTGCTTACACTGGAAAACTCTTCCACATTGGTTCTTGCTTATGTCAGAGTAAGCTGATCTTGTTTTACTTCAAAAAGGCCTAGAAACTGCAGATAAACTATGTTAACCTACGTGGAATAGCTGTGTGATCACTTAAATTGTACAATTCCCTCTAGATAATGGGTCATCAGGTCTCGAGTACATGACAGTCAGATTTGAAGAAAGAAAATAAAAAGGAAGGAAAATAAAAGCCACAATCACTTTATTTTTTATCCTATCCCTATTGAAAAATCCAGGGCTACAATACATAAAAGCTACAGAACAACTTCCTAGTCTGCCTTTCCCTTTTCCATTTCAACTTTTCTTGGCATTTTTTTTTTGAAGATTACACATCAGTAATGYGGTGCACAAAACAGCTAGTTTAAAATGGTGTTATCAAGGAGGGAAAAAAGGAATCTGAGAAAAAGTACATGAAGAAAACATGTTGATGAGTAAGGGTGGCAAACATTTGTAAGCTACACTTTTCTTCAAAGAGAATCCGGAACAAGGAGCGTCCTTTTTTATTTTAAGAGTTTGATGATGACACCACCAAGATCAAAATTATTTTTTAAATGAGAGAAAACAGGCAGAAAGCTTACCAAAAAAATCCACAGAAATACAATTACTGCCATGGTTTCCATACCTGTTTATTTGGAAATGCTCTGATGCAGCGGGTCTGATACTTGAGGCTGGATTCTCTGCGCTGCTGAACATATCCCATGTTCCGCAGATCCCACACCAGCACTCTCCGACCTGCAGTCCCCACGATCAGTCTGTCTCCAGACACGGACAGCGTGTACACCTGTTAGAGGAAGATTACCACATTCCACCCTTATTAGCCTGAATATGCAGGGTTCACTGTACACAAAGCATCAGCAATATGAAGTAAAAAAAAAGTACAATTCAATCCACACCTAGAGATTCATTTCCGTTTCACTTTAGTCTGTCACCCAAATTTGGGTTTAACTGCAATAGTATGCAGCCAGGTACTGCGTAAACACAAATTTAGCATGTCAAGAGATCACCCTTAAATCTGCATGCTAGGAGATGCCTTTAATAAAGCTTAAAGTGGTATATCATCCAACAAAAAAAACTGAGTTACCAAAAAAGTGAACATGCACTTTTTAAAATTAAAAAGCACATTTGTTCAATGGTTTATTAGTCTCAGATCACAGGGATATTTAGATATCAGACCAAACACAGGATTTCTTGCTTGCCTGGCAGTACCATTCTAAATTCTGTATGTGTACAATAGCATTATTGCTTATGTATAATGCTTATGTATAATTCAAAAGTGAAATCAACATTATTCAAGTTTTCCCCTAATTATTTTAAGCATTAAATAGGTGATTTCAAGCTAAGAGAAAAATCAGCAAAGTAATTGGGGAAAAATGGCTGCTACACAAATTAGAAATAATCTTTACTTGACGTGCATAACCTGCAATCTGCACGATTAAGTCATGATAACACTCTTCAGGCCTACAGTCTTTTTTTTTTTTTTTTTTTTAACTGAACACTTTAGCTCAACTTGAGCTTCAAGTTAAAGGAAAATTGTCAGGAAACAATTAAAACTTAATTCAATGCATGCTTCCATAAAACTGACTGAAGCAATATGCTTGACTTCCATTAGAAATAAAGTCCAGAAGTTCAAATCAAAAGTGTTTCAGTTTCCAACTTTCATTTCTCCAATTTCTTGTGAAATTATTAAGCACATAAATCATTCAATTCCTATTATTTGAGATGCAGCAATCCGAGAATGTCAAAATTAATCAAGTTTGATCAAAACCTCTGTACTATTAACTGAATTTCAAATTGTTGATACACAAGTAAGATGGAATGCAGCTTCCTAATAGTTGTGCTGTCACCGAGCCATTAAAATGAGTTACAAAAAGAAGTTTCTATGGAAGTGATCTAATGAAGTTAATATATACCTAGCAGATGCTGTAAATACCTTAGAATTTGAATGGTAATTGTAGGAGGTCTGCTATTCTACCAGGACTCAATTTACTATTGACATCTGCTTGTACAATGTAACTGAAGAACCCGATTTCACTTTCTAGTTCTTTGAGATAAAGCCCAAAGCAGCTGCTTGTTTCTGATAAGAATACAATGAAACATTAAACAAAATAGCTTTTCTGACGATTTGCCATGAATATTTCTATAGATATTATGTTCTCAAAAAAATACCTTAGCTTTATGATAGAAATCATTTATCTATGACAGGGAGGTATATGTGCACATGTATATAAATATATATGTATTTGTACACAAAACTATAAAGATAAAGCTTCCTTTMACTAATACACAATTACTAGGCATACATTCTTGCTTTGAGCAAAACATGTTTCTCTCAAAACTGAAACACAAAAGTTCAMGTAAGTCACCTAAAATTTCTGATGACCCCAAAAGCCAAATCCCATTTAGATATAAAAGTGGATGAGAACCCTGAGCCAAGAGTAATTCAACACATTAACAGGACAGCTTTTAAAATTTCCCTTTCCAATTGCTGTAAAAATTGATCCAAAAATATTAACRAACATATTACAATTTTTATGCAGGTAGGGAAACAAAGGCATAAAGAACATTAAATATCCTAAATCTTCTTTACAAACTGATGTCACACCTGTATAGTAAGTGTTCTTTCTGCACCGCACAATCATAAATCAAATGAAACCATTGTCACGCAGTTGAGTAGGTATAAGCATTTATCAAAAGCAGTATTAGAAAAAAAATGACATAATGAACCTTGCTGAACCAATAAGCAGCTTGATTCACTGTGGCTGTCCATTATACGATATTCTGTCAGCAATTTATCACGGTTCTTTACATGCTACACACAACTATAAATCAAAACTAGAAATAATGCAATTACTTTGTTCTGRACAAAGGTCTTGCCAGAAGTAGATTCAGCTGTGTTGTGACAAAAGTAATAGCTGTTTAGATGCAATACAGAACACAATGATGGCTCGTACCTATGGTTTGACAATATRTTTTAACATAATTAAATGAAATATAAAAGGGGCATAGGCAAAAAAACATTTGCATGCAAAAACATCCAGCAATCCAGCCTATGCTTAAGAGTCTATGATAAAAACTATTTTCTAGTAATTCTATCAGTGAAATCACGTGAAGCAGTGTAAAGACTGACACACCACATCACCCTTAGAAAAAGTTTAAGGCACCATATTTAGCCTTTTTCCTTCTTGGTCCATCATTTACAAAGAACACTAGGATAATGCCTTAATTTACTAAGCATTAGTATAGCCACAGGTAACTTGCAATAAAAGATTAAGCAAAATTGCTTGTAAAACAAACACAAATATTATTCTAGGAAGAATAAGTGGCCTCCTACTATAACTCTATGCATACTTCTAAATAATCAGTTATGACTGTCAGAATCTGATCTTTATAAATGTTAATATTAAATTGTGGTATGTACTACCCCTGCCTTAGGAAGTCTGTGAAATTAACAACGGCCTCAATTYCCAATGCCACCCCCAAACGCATTTTAAAGCAAAAGGGTTTGGTACATTAAATGCAAACAATTAAGCTAAGCTCTCYTCATGATAAAAACTCACAACCCTAACCTGAAATCTTGCTCCATTAACTGAATATTTTCAACATTTCAGTTTACAGCAATTATTCTCACAGCCTTAAAAATACCAAAAGTAACTTTCCATATTCAAGTTCCATCATTTAAGACAGTACACTATAYGTGATGTTTACCCAGTCTCTGCATGTATTATCTAACATATTGCCCAGGTTGGAGTATTTAGAACTTACCTTTTCAGGCTGAGAGAAAGTCCCTGCATTACAAGGAGTCCTGGGATCCCACAGTTTAACTGTCTGATCCCAGCTTCCAGTCACCATCACATTCACTTCTGGGCAATACTCAACACATCTGATAGGAGCATCATGGGCACCAACAAGGCTTTCTTTAGGAGAAAAATATAGTCTTTATTGGCTTCACAAACAAAAATACATTGTAGAGGGGATTAAAAAAAGCACACGTTACTTCAATAACACACTGTCTTCTAACATTCCCATTAATCTATTAGGATTCTCTTTAAAGACTGTTCCATCCTCAAAGCTTAGTTTTCTAAGATCAAACATTAAATTTGGACTTGTCTCATGAGATTATCAGAGGATATTAACAATTCTAGGCTGTCACAAAAACCTACAGAAGTATAAAGTGTTAAATATCCACTTGATATCACCATTTGTGAAACAGACATTTAATATAGGAAGCTGAATGAAATTTAAGCTTGCACACATTAATAGCAGGACAAAAGAAAAACTGTGGTTAACATAAGCACTTTTAGTAACTCCTCTGTTAACAAACTATAGTTTTAAAGGTCAAATAATTTTACAATTGCATACAAGTGTATCAAGCTCTGTCTATCAGCCAATTTTGGCACGCTATAAATGCCTTAGGTCAATATTACCTTCCTCTCCACTCCCCACCAAAGTTAGACAAAGTAGCTCCTTAAGCTGCAGTGATAAGACACTGGAAGAGTCTGGGTTTAATTCTAGCAGTGTTTTTTTACAGACAAACATAACCTAAGGCTATGAAACCAGAAAATATAAAACTATATGCTAAGGACCTACCTTTTGCCATAATCATGAAAAACTATTCCAAATATTGTCAAATTACAAACCTCAGAGAATAACATGCTAGGATTTAGGAGAGTTTAGCTAATTCCTGCCATGATACATACATGGAAGATCATCAGAAATCCAACTCAAAGTCCTACAAAAACTATTTATCACACTTTCTAGAAAACTGACAAACCCTTTCACAGCACATAGGGGCAGTAGCTTTCCTGCTAAGTAAAGGTACATATGGTTTTTAAAGATCCAGTCATGCAGAGGAACACTAAAACATCAATGAGACAAGCAAATAATATTCATGCCCTTCAACTGTCATCTTGAAGTAAATAATATATCTATGCAAAATAAATAGTGAACATTCACCACTGTGTAAATAAACCCCCTAAGTCTGACATGACAGATGAAGCTCTTCTGCTAAATAAACTGTTGCACAGTTTTTAGCACTACTGCACCAAGAGGAAKCCTGCCTGTTCAGTGCCCTAGACATCTCTACCTTAGTCATGAGAGGGSTGGAGAGCAGTGCTGAGCATTAATAGTGACAGCTTAAAGTACAGATTCCATTGATTTAAACATAATACACAGCACATAGTGCAAAAATAGMCATCTCACCTTTAGCATAGCTTTTCTCAGTATTTTCAAGTTTATCTCTATGYATCCTAGCACTCATTTCTACGAACAAGGCCACCCCATAGACACATTGTTACMATAAATGTTTGCAAAGCATGAAGATCAGCTTCACAAAGAAGACAAAGTTTATATTTTTTAACTTAAAAGGAGAAGCGAGCATTAGTTATTAGAAGCAATAAGAACAGTAGGTAGTCTATGAATAAAAGCATGGCACTGTGTACCATAAGCCAAATAATGATAAGCTTCATATGCACAAAAGTGTAAATAGTCACCTTCCTTCTAATACACGTAGAGCACAATCCTAATTTTCATAYCAGAGGGAGAATCATGCAGTGCATACATCAATGCCACTAGATTTTACCTTCCAAGGAAAAGCTTCAGGAACYGTACATACCTTTACCAAGGCTAATATTTACCTGGATCCTCCCTCATCATGCCAGATATTTTCCAGAGCCAGAATAACATCTAATATTTAAACTAYTGTTACGCAATGCACAAAAGCAAGCATGACTTTTCTCATAATGTTTCTGACTAAACAAGAAACACTTGTACCAATAGTTAATATATACGAAGTTTATCGATTAATCCTGAACTACTCTTAAAAGCAAGCATGCCCTATCTGGAGAACTATCTCACATTTCACTCTTAATTCTGCTTAAGTATATAAATGTTACATTTAGCCCACCTGTTTAGTCAAATTACAGAAATCAATCTGCTTACCTTGGTCCGTGTTTAGATCATGCATTTTCAATTGTTGATCTAATCCTCCACTCCAAGCATGTGTGGGATCCTACAAAGTAGAAATATTCACCTTAGAGCATGCATTTAGTATCCTTGGCTGACACACACGTCATCTCCTCGACACATAATAAAAACTTTTTCCCCCTCTCAATAATTTAAGAAAGATGAAAATTAAGGTATAWCAGTTAAGAAGGCAGATAGAAGAAGCAGATGATAGCTCCTTTAAAACGTTCAAGTGAAGCRCTTAAGCTATACATTTTTTTAGTGTGAAAGGAAAATTAAAAAACAATGAATTTAGAAGCTGCATCAAATCACTTTCATTTCTGTAATAGCAAAATACACGTTTGTTGTTTCTTAAATGGTTACTTCCAAYTACAGTGTATTCCTTCTAAAGATAATTTAGAAGCAAAAAGATTCGTTATGTTAAACAAAATATGAAGACTGATTGCACAAAATCAGTTTTTAGTCAACAAACAACAAAAAAGTAAAATTAAAAACTTGAATTGATCCTTACAACATACAGTAACACACCAACTCACAAGAACATGACAAAAAAAAAATGCTTGAAACTTTTCAAATCCAGTGTTTTGAAAACAGAAAAAGTACTTGGCAAATGGTTCATCTGGAACAATGAGTCACTGTTTCCTGAAAAACCACACAAACAAAACACAACTACAGGGAAATTTCCTGTGAAAGGTTTGTTGGAACACACTAGAAGTGCTGCTCTTCAAGGAACTTGCAAATGATTTAACATACCACTGAAAAAGCATAAGCAAATTAAAATTGTTTTGTTTACCACAGATAAAAACACATCAAAACGCACCTGTAGGCAGTTATATCAAAACTGATTTTCTTTTTGTTTTTTTATAGGTTATTCTGTTCTCTATTTTTTTTAAATCAATCATCTTTGTCACCTGCACTATTCACAATAAATGTAGATTTAGAAAAAGAAGGATTTCATTAAAAAATCAGTAATTAGCAGAAGCTAAAAAAATAAAATGATAATAAAAAAGACACACACACACACACAACACCCTGACGGGAACTCTCCAATTAATTTGATGMAATAAACAATTTCTCATATACCTTAGACACTACAAATCTAAACAACAGAATGCACTTACATAAAAAGCACAGTCAAGGACAGCTCCTGAATGCTGATACTTGAGTCTCAGGGTGTTGGCAGGAACATCATAGAGTCGGACAGTTGTGTCCCAGGAAGAAACAAGCAGAAACTGAGACGTATTTGGACTAAATTTTACCGAGGAAATCCCATCATCAGGAGTTTGGTTTAGTTTGAACTCGTTTGATCCCGTCATCTGAAGAAATGAYGATAAAGCATGGTATAATTCTAGGGCTACCAAGAACATCAGCTCAACAAGATCATCCAATCACTCATGTATTTTAAAAGGTAACTTAAAGGAAGCATGAAAAGTTTGCTGGCTTTTCCACAGAAAGCGGACACTCAGATTTCCAACAAATTGATTGGAATTGCAGATACTTATCACTGCATTCTCAAAGAATGCCTCCTGATGCTGTGAAGTTAATTATCAAATAATGCATAAAATAACTAGTACAAGAATCTGACAATAATTACTGTACTTAAGTTCGGATCTACAATGCCATTACTTAAAAATGCGTTCTTTCCTCAACACGTTACATTAAAAAATATAGATATGCTATGTATAGAGAGTATGTCATCGTGGGTTACTAAGAATGAAGTTACTTTTAAAAATGCTGGCAGAACGAAGCATGATTTGAAATAACCTACAAGAAGCATTTGTGATTAGTAGGATTTTCATAAACTTCCAAAAATTGCAGTTTCCACTCCTAAATTACTTTGTCTTCTCTGAAGCTTCCCCCTACTACTTCAGCTTCCCTGAGTGCGGCAAAATAGCCCCAACAAAACAGTTTTAACATATTTTCTTAGAGTGTAAACGCTGACAGATAGAAAGGAGAACCAGATTTTGTGARGGGTTGAAACAGACCAGACATGCAAAGACAGAGGACAGGAGAAAAAAGAAAGCACACCCACAGCAGCAGATCAGTAACAGATTAGTGACTCGAGATAATTGCAGCAGTCACACTTAATAGAACTAGCTGCACATATAAGAATTCAAAGGAGAGGTGAGGCTACAAGAAGCAAGTGCCACCTAAAAAYACAGTGCAGATCTTGCAAATGCTCTAAATGAAGGAACTGTGCATTATAAATGCATCAATGTAATCTCCAAAACCTCTCAAAATGCTTTCCGGACCCTTAATATTCTTAATATACATTTCTCATTTGGGAAAAGTGCAGAGAAGTGAATTGACAGTCCAGAATTTCTTTAATTGAAATTCTAAGGGCAACAGCGGAGGTGAGATTASACTTCTGACAACAAATAAAGGGAGAGGGTTCAAATTCAGTGCATGGTTATTCTATTCCTACATTTTTAGTCATTATGAACAATCAAGATGAGTAAAATGCAGCGAGCACCCATTTTCACAGAAGAAAAATAAGTTTTCCAAAGGAAGAATTTACAGAAGTGTACTGTAAGACATTCTTAAAAATATATTTATATTTGCATATTTTACTACTYAAACGTTACATTAGAAAGTCCTCATACAAACAGGAAATAAAAACTACCTACTTATTCATTTTTTTTCAGAAGAATTTTGAGACTTCTTGGCCAAAAAATAAAAATACTTAAGATTCTRCCATAGTCATGAATACTGGTAAATTGTTCACCCTTTAAGTGGTGAAATGCACTTAGATGAGTATTTTAGATAAATGTAAAGAGACACTAAGCTACAGGAATCAAGAACAAGAASAGCTAGACCAGACACACTAGTTACCTTGTCTACTTGCTGCAGACAACCTAAACAACAAGCGGGAGATTAGAGGTGCCTGGCACCACAGTTACAAACCACCCCAAAACAACAAGCAGGAGCCTAGGAAACAAACTTAGATCAGAGACACAAGGGGATCATCCAGTACTACTCTTAATCCAAGAGACAAGAGGAAAAAAAAACCCACTAGAATATACAAAGAGCTTTGTATATATGCTACGAAGAGTAGGATATATACATATATTTATATATATAAAGAATATATGTATAGGTATATATACAAAAAGTATATATACACCTATACTATAAGTATATATCTATACCTAKAGTTTAATATAAATTGAAAAGAATAATAATACCCTTACACCAAGAGCACCCCACRCTTTCAAAAGCACAACTTCTTCACAAAGGGGACATTGAGCTGGAGCTCTCATGCCAATATCCAGCACCAAAACGCTGATACCATTTCTCAGACATCGCATAAAACACAAAGGGGGAAGAAGCGGGCTGGTGAAACCGTGCGGTGGTCTTACGTACACAAAGCACCTTGTTGGGCCTGAAACCCCACTTAGCCAAGAATATAAATATCTAAGTGCAACCCGTGTGATTTTATAGCCCCGCTTAGCCCAGTGTAAGCAGGCGCGCAGGGTGCCCGACGGCAGCGCGCCCGCCGCCCCGCGCGGTACCGTTTTCATATTGCGCGAGGTCGGGTGGGGCYGGCGCCCAAGCGCAGCGGTTCCTCCTGCAGAAGAGTCGAGACGAGGTCGGTCCGGGAGCTGCGGGGAGGCGAGAGCGTGAGGAGGCACCGAGGGAGGCGGCGGGCGGGCCCGGCCGCACCGCGCGGGCCCCGCACAGCCGCGCCGCGGGAGCCGGCACCCGCCCCGCTGCCGCGACCCGACCCCGCAGCCCGCGAT